ATTAAAATTTATTAATATAATATTATGCTCTCCGAACATTATATTATACTTCTAATATTAGATGATATTGATACAACATAATTTACAGAGTTATAATCTCAGAAATAAACAAGGTTTACTATAAGTTGAGTACAAAGGTCTGAGTAATTATTCAAATTTATCAACAGTGGGATTTGAATTTTAGACCTCTTACATAGTGATCTGACAACCTAACTACTACACTAAGATCACCAGACCTAAGTTGTATATTTAATTTTATATAAGTCTCTAATATTTTTATTAATTTTATATTTTAAATATTATTAAATATAGTAAAATTAAAATTATTTAGAAAAATATTTATTTTAATTTAAATTTTAACTTATAAATATTTGTTTTAAAATACTTAAATATTATTGTAATTAGAATTACTTGTCAAATAAAAAAAATTTTATATTATTTAGTTTTTCTACATTTATATTTTATTTATTATTAATATATATATGATATTTTTTAAAATATGAACAAGACTTGTTATAACAAAATGCAACATTACATTGAATATACCAAATTTGACTTTGCAGAAGATTTTTTTTATTAATTTGATTATTGCTAATTTTGGTCTTCTATTAGCATTATATATGCAACATTATATTCTCTTCATTCAAGATAATAATTTATACTAGAAAGCTAAATTGCTGATAACTTAAAGTTTTTATGAACAATTAAAGCAGAATTTTTATATAGTTTAATTTTAGACCTTTCTTTATTTTTGAACTTTTGTTTTTTACTTAATACTCTATTAATAAAATCTTATACAATTTCTAAATAAAAATTTTTAGAATTTAGATTTCTACCTGTAAATATAATATTTTGTCAATAAAAATAAATTCATTTAATTAAAATTACCTTTTTGTTTATATATAATATAGGAATTTATAATTATAGTATCAATTAACCAAAATATAAATAGTAACCAGTTATGCAAAAAAGTAAATTGATAGTTGTAATATGATCAAAATTGATCTGCTGTATTAACACTACCTATAAAGTGATTATAATTATTAATAACTTTTGGTATAAAAATTTCTTTTTGTAATATTTCACTAAAAACTTTTCATATATTTGCTATATTTGTACTAGTTATTTATAGTCTTTAACATATTGTAGAAAGTTTCTATTCATCATCTTTAATACTATAGATAGTAGAAAGCATATAAACAGAACTATTATCTATTCATAAAATTGCTAAAATATTATTTACAACTATACCAGATAAAATATTCTAATCTATATGAATAGATTTTTCAAATTTTAGTATTTTAGAAAATATTGAAGAATTTATTCATACTATACTACAAGTTCTATATTCTTTTGTTCTCAAATAATAAAAAAGCAAAATATTTGTAAAATAATTATCAATATATATATTATATATATGTCTATTTGATAATTGAGTAACAAGATATGATACAAGTGATTCTGTTTTATTAAGACCAGAAATATTAATAATTTCTTTATTATCTGTAATATATGATTTGAAAGTAAATATATAAGTATACCCTTTTTTACACAAGGACATAACTTTATATCTCTCAGGAGTAGGTTTTTTTTTCATTCAAAATATATAACTACTATATTCTGAAAAAAGTATTATTATTTTATCAACTGATATATATGATCTAGGTATATAAAGTTGCTTACTAATATTTCTAATATATAATGCAAGTAGTTTAACCTTACTATACTAATAAGAATTCTCTAAATCAGGATCTGAAATATATAAATAATATTTAATTTGCTAAAAATGAATTACTGCTATTTTTTGTATAATACTATGTTTAGAAAATTTTGAATTAGTTGACCAATAATCAGTTACTTTTAGTAACTTAATAATACCTATATACATAACAATTTCTATTCAAATTTTTAATTTATCTAAAGTTAATAGAGTTTATACTTATTTAGCTATACTAGTATTTTTTATTTATGCATATTTATTTGTATTAGTTATAATTGTAGTAAGAATATTATATGAAAAAAAAGCCTAATTAAACTGTTTAGAGAAATTTTACAATTAGGATAAATTTGTAGTAATATTATATAATCCTCATAATAGAATATACTATGAACTAAAATATTAAAGTCAGATAGCTTAGGCAATTGAGCAGAAATTGCATCTCTTCTTTTTGAACTTTTTCTAATTTTATTTCTTTGATCTCTTTTTCTTCCTTGTACTCTACTTTCTGTTTTTCTAATTTCTTTACTAATTATGATTTGTTCTAGACCTATACTTATATTGTCTATCTTAGCAATATTATTAGAATCATTAATATTTTCTAAAAACTCATCTTCTATATAATTTTTAGATAATCTTCATAGAATAAATAATACAATATATTTGTTAGATAATTCATTAAATAAATCCTCAACATTTTCTTATATTAGATTTTTTAAAAAAAGATCTAATATTAAATCACAATTTGTAAGTAAAACTAAAAAAAAAGAACTCATAAAATTATTTAAATTGATGGTAATATAATTTTTTTTTAATTAATTTAAAAAAAAAATACTGTGATAATTTTTTAATTAAAAAATAAAATAAAAAAATACTATGATAGTTTTTAAAAATCTAGTTTTTTTTTTAGTAATTTATTTAAAAAACTCTTTAATTAAACAATTGAGTTACTAATAAGGTAAAGTCAAATTATTAATAACAAAGATTAAAAATACAAACTAATAAAAATTGAGATAAATAGATCTAACACAATTATTATAAAATTCTATTTATTAATTGTAATTAAAAATTTGACTAAATTTTCTTTTAAAAAAAGATATAATACATACTGTATATATATGCAACATATAGTAATATTGTAGAAGTAAATAAATGAGTACTAGTTCAAATAAAGTTTGATTTATATTCATAACTATTTATTATACACACATAGTACAGATAAAATCATACCTATCAGATTCACTATTCATGCATAATATTTTTATCATGACTACACAAGACTTAGTTTACAAAGATTTGTAAATTCTGGTTCTTTAATTATTTAATATATGAGAAAAGATATTTAAGTTACTCTTCTCTTTTCCTTTCTTATTTATGTAATACTATATTATATTATACTACAAATTTATGAAAGAATTTATACATGATTATACACAAACTACAATAAGCTTTACTTGCATAGTAATAGAAGTTACTAATCTAACTAATATAGTAATACTCATATAACTCAATATAACCAATTATATTAAACATCTAATTCTGCTTACTTTATATAAACATAATCAATTAAGATCTAACTGATTAGTTCTAGACATAGTACATAAGATATTATTCATTGCTACAAGTAATTAGAACAATTAGCAATCTTTAATTAATGCATAATTATTGCAGATTTGTTTTGTATTAGTTAGCATTTTATTTATATGTAATGCAAAACTAAACAAATAATATATATAATTTTAGAGGAGGTATTCTTAGTATAAATTTTTTTTTATAGTTTAAAAATTTAGTTTTGCAAGCAAATTTGTCTGCATAATATATTAAGAGATAACAAATATACTATATCCCTTAAACTGTCTAGTATCTAAATTTGAATACTAAAATATTTTTTACCTTATTTTTATTTAATTACACAAAAACTTTCTAAACATTACCTTCTCTATTTACTAACAAAAATTAAAGTACTCATCTTTTTAAATATTATTTTAAAATTTTATTATTTTATTTTTAATTTTAACAAAGATATTTAATTTTTTTTAAACTTAATTTTTTAAATTTACTATTAAAATTTTTTAAACTCTCTTAAAATTTTATATGTTTTCAAAGAGAAAATTTGGCTTCACTTCTAATTAAAGTTAAAATTTTGCTTATAAAATTATAAAAAGTATAATAACAAAAGTTATTTATTTTTTTGTGTTTTACAACTTTTTATTAAAGTAGTAGAAGGTCTAATCTTAAGCTTATACTAAGTAAAATAACAAAAAAAGAAAAAAATTTTAAAAATTAAAATTTTTTTAAAAAATTAAAAAATTTTATTTTATAAGTAATATAAAATTTTTTGTAAGAATTAGAAAGATTAAAATGATTTTTAAATAATATATATTTATAGTTTTTATTTAAAAAAAATTTTATTTAAATATTTTAATTTTTTTTTTTTTTTTTTAATAAAGCTACTTCCTTAGTCAATTAGATTTTATTAGTTTTTTTTTTTTTTTTAAACTTAGGTGATTTTGCCCATCACTTTATTAAGAAAAGCTTAACAAAAAGCTATATGATAATATACTATAAAGATTATACTAAATTACTCTCCTAAGTACTGATCTAGACTCACTCGACTACCTCTAAGTATGATCTGCTGCAGTAACAATTTCCCTCATAAAAAATGTTAGACTACTCGATAGTCTATTTGCTTCCTAATCCCAGGAAAGCTACTACTAGCCTATATCAAGACTGTCTAGTCTTTTCTTAAAAACTTTTTCTATCTATATTCCAGCAGAATAAAGAAAAAATATATAGTTCTACGAAGAGGCAATATAGGGAATGAAGAAAAAGAGAAAATTAGATTTTATTAGTTTGTTATTATAAAACTTTTATATAAACAGTTTCTTAAGGTTTTACAGTTATATGATAAGTATATAACAAGCTATATATATAACTTTAGTCATTGTCTAATTTAAGTAGTCTATCATACAGATAATTGACTATCTGTTAGTTCTACACTATATTGTTATATCTGCAACTCACTTATGAATTATCTATTTAAACACTCTAATCATTAACTCTTCTCCTTATTTCAAACTAATATTACCACTATATCTGACTGCTTAAACTAGCTAACTTATACATAGATCTATTTATTATATAGCTTAGATCTTCTCAGAATATGTATTGCTAATATATTATGAGCATGCAGAGCTCTAGTTAACCTCAAAAGTAATTCTTATCAGAGTAGTTATATGTTTATTTCACAGATTCATCTAGCTTAAACCTTTATTGATATTTGTATAAACCTAGTTTTTGCTATAGCTCTCTACCAGATATAGTCTTCTATGTTCTAGCTAGATACTTTATAAAATAGATTCTTCTAATCTAGTTAGCTACTAAGCTAAGTTAGTATTACTATTTGTAGTCATATCAGACTGCAGATTCATAACAGTTTAACTCATACCTATCAATCTTATATCCTTCATACTCAAGTTTTTTACTAGATCAAGTATCAACTGGCTTAACTATCTAAATTTATACTACTTTACCAAACTCAGAATTTCTACTATTCAGATCCTTTGCTTATAAATCCTATTAAGATTTATTCATACAATATAATTCGAGTGATATTAGTTTGTAACAGTATAGGTTAGTTGAACAGAGTGTTTAAATAGATAATTCACAGGCAGATTACAAATATAGTAGCATAGTATAGAACTAATCAGATATTCTATCATCCATATAGCAAACTACTTAAATTAGACAATAACTAAAGTTGTATGTGTGGCTTGTTGTATACTCTTTATGTAATTACAAACTATAGAGATTGCTCATATATAATCTCATATATCAAACTAATAAAAATCGTCTGGCAATATAAACCACCTTAAAAATAAAATAAAATAAAATAAAATAAAATAAAAAAAAAAAAAATTAAAATATTTAAGGTCTAATAATCTTAGTATAGTAGTTAAATTATTAGACTATTATACAAGAGGTTTGAAGTTCAAATTTCACTATTGACAAATTTGAATAATTGCTCAGATCTTTGTATTTAACTTATAGTAAACTCTGTTTATTTCTAGAGGTTACAACTCTATAAATCATATTGCATTAATATCAATTAGATATTAGAAGTATGATGCAATACTGTAATATCTAACTGCTTAAACCAGCTAGCTCATTACAGATCCATTTTTTGACTCTAGTTTAGATCCTCTCGAGATGCTTATTACTCAATATATTGTAAGCTCACAGAGCTCCAGTTAACCTCAAAGCAAACCTACTAGAGTAGCCTGTGCTTATTTTACAAACTCATCTAGCTTAGACCCTTGTAGATGTTTGTACAACCCTAGTTTCTACTGTGGCTCTTCACTAGTTTTTTGTATCTATTTTCTCAGATATTTCATGAGGCAGATCCTCCTAATCTAGTTAGCTGCTAAGTCAGGTTGGTGTTATAGGTCCTCTCTATAGAATAAATTTATACGTATCTGACTCAATCTGTATCTTTTGATAATAATTTCCTTTTTGGATCAAGTGTTAGCTGATATAACTATCAAAAGCCGTATTACTTCACTAACTTGAGATTTCTACTATACAGGTCCTCTGCTTATAGATTCTATCAAGATTTATTCATATAATATTATGCATTTTGTCACACTTTCAATATCTGAATAATATTAGTGCAATGTGATTTACAGGGTTACAACCTCAGAAACAGACAGGATTTACCATAAGTTAGGTACAAAGATCAGGTAATTATTCAAATTTGTCAACAGTGGGATTTGAACTCCAGACCTTTTGCATATTAGTCTGGCAACCTAACTACTACATTAAGATCATCAAATCTAATATTTTAATTTTTAAAAAAAAATAAATCAAATATAAATTTATAAAATTTTAGTATTCAAATTTGAATACTAAACTAAATAGTTTAAAGGATAAATATCTACAAGAGTCTAAGCTAAGTAAATCTATAAAATAGATACTACTCTAGTAGATTTGCTTCAAGATTAACTAGCTCTGCAATACTAACAATATATTAGATATAATGTATTCTAAGAAGATCTAAGCTATTCTGAATAAATAGAACTGTAACAAGCTAGTTAGCTTAAGCAATTAGATATTGTAGTAATATTAGATTAGATCTGTATAAATTAATAAATAGAATATTTAAATAAATAATTCATAAGCAAATTATAGATATAGTAGCATAGTGTAGAATTAATTAGATAATCTAATACCTATATAGTAAACTACTTAAAATAAATAATAACTAAAGTTGTATATATAGCTTGTTGTATTTTATATAATTACAAACAGTAGAAATTATTAATATATAATTCTGTTTACAATATTAATAAAATTTCTTTAGTAAGGTCTGGCGATCTTAGTGTAGTGGTTAGGTTGCCAGACCGCCATGCAAGAGGTCTGGGGTTCAAATCCCACTG